AATATTGAAGGACGACCGAGAAAATCGAAAAAAGTGACAAAGTACTGGATTTGACCTAGTTCTTGACCTTTGACCTAGATAAAAATTTGACCTAATTTCCCAGAAACTAGGTCACATACCCTAACTGACCATGTAATTAGATTTACTCCAAGTCTTCTAGTTACTGAGAAAACGTGCTAATAAGAATAATAAGAATAATAAGAATAATAAGAATACAGGCAAAAGCAATAGACTCCAGATTTTCAATCTGGAGTCTAATAATAAGAAAACTGGCAAAAGCAATAGACTCCAGATTTTCAATCTGGAGTCTAATAATAAGAAGAAGAATAAGAATACTGGCAAAAACAATAGACTCCAGATTGACATCTGGAGTCTAATAAGAAGAAGAATACTGGCAAAAACAATAGACTCCAGATTTTCAATCTGGAGTCTAATAATAATAAAGAAGAATACTGACGAAAACAATAGACTCCAGATTTTCAATCTGGAGTCTAATAACTAGATTGGTAAATTGAACAAAGTTCAATTTAAGACTCCAGATTGATTTACTTGTGTAAAGAGCTGAGTAAGTAACTGAGTAGGAAGCTGAGTAAGTAGATGATTAAGTAATTGAGTAAGTAGCTTAGTAGGCAGCTGAGCAAGTAGCTGAGTAAGCTACTGAGTAGGTAGCTGAGTAAGTAGCTAAGTATGTAGCTGAGTAGGTAGCTGAGAAGTAGATAGCTAAGTAGGTAGCCGAGTAGGTAGGTAGGTAAGTAGGAATATTTGACTGATAGTCGGATTGAAATTTGATTTGCAGATTCGGATTCCTGAGAAAATCCTACCCTTAAGTCATAACTCATACGTTAAATTTGGAGAACCTTTCATGTTGACCTACATTTCGGGCACTATATCTCAAAAGTGGGTCAAAATACTTTCTGACTGCAAAAGGCTAACACTATTAGCACACTCTTTGCTACCTGTATACAAAATTTTGAAGCAAATAATTAAAGTGTAGTGTCACAATCGTAAAAAGAAGGAAAAGCTGTGAATTTGACCTAGATTTTGACCTAGGCATTTTGGTGTTCAAATTTTGAAGCAAGATAGCTTTTGAGGTCCCTTTCTTTTATAGGCTTTCATTATGTAAAGCTGTACTCAGTCTATATCTCGTATTTTACACTTCAAAAAAATCTTTTTTCCCATTGCCATAACATGGGGCACCAAATTTAGCGATTTTTGAGCTTTCAAAACGCCATAACTTCTGAACGGGAAGTCAGATCGAAATTTGGTTTGCAGATTCGGATTCCTGAGAAAATTTTACCCCTAATTCATAACACATACGTTAAATTTAGCGAATTTTTATTTTGACCTACTTTTTGGACACGGCATAACTTCCGAACCAGAAGTCGGATCGAATTTTGGTTTGCATATTCGGATTCCTGGGAAAATTGTACCCTTAATTCATAGCTTATATGTTAAATTTGGAGAACTTTTTATTTTGACCTACATTTCGGACACCATATCTCAAAAGTGGGTCAAAATACTTTCTGACGGCAAAAGGCTAACACTATTAGCACACTCTTTGCTACCTGTATACAAAATTTTGAAGCAAATAATTAAAGTGTAGTGTCACAATCGTAAAAAGAAGGAAAAGCTGTGAATTTGACCTAGATTTTGACCTAGGCATTTTGGTGTCCAAATTTTGAAGTTATGTAGCTTTTGAGGTCCCCTTCTTTTATAGGCATTCATTGTGTTAAGCTGTACTCAGTCTATATCTTGTATTTTACACTTCGAAAAAGTCTTTTTTCCCATTGGCTTAACATGGGCACCAAATTTAGCGATTTTTGAGATTTCAAAACGCCATAACTTCCAAACCGGTAGTCGGATCGAAATTTTGTTTGCAGATTCGGATTCCTGAGATAATTCTACACTTATTTGATGATTCACACGTTGAATTTAGAGAACTTTTTATGTTCTGACCTACTTTTCGGACGCCATATCTCAAAATCGGTAAGAGTAATCAAAAAACGGTTTGCCATTCACAATAAGCTTTTTCTAAGGAACATGATGAAAAAAACCCGGAGCAAAAATACTGAAGGACGACTGAGAAAACTTGTAAAATAGTGAAAAACCACGATTTGACCTAGTTCTTGACCTTTGACCTAGATAAACATTTGACCTAATTTCCCAGAAACTAGGTATCATTACCTAGTTGACTATGTTAGCAGATTTAAGTTAGTCCTTCTAGTTGCTGAGAAAAAGTGTTCGGAAAGAAAGAATAACTAGATTTTGGAAATTGAACGAGTTCAATTTCAGACTCCAGATCTAGCCTTTTTTTAGCCGAGTCATCCAGAATAAGCCAAGTCATCCAAAATAAGCTAAGTCATCCAGAAAAAGATGGATGGATGGATGGATGGATGAATGAAAAAGGAAGGAAGGAAACGATAGAATAGGAAGGAACGAAAAGAAAGAATAGGAAAGAAGGACTCGATAGAATAGAATAGGAAGAAGGGATAGAATAGGAAGGATAGGAAGGAGAGGATACGAAGCAAGGGTAGATAGGAAGGATAGGATAGGATCAGAAAGGAAGGATGGATGCATTTTTCAATATTTTCTTCTCTACTCTTGACTTTCTATCAGGATACCATCAGATCGATTTTTCTTGAAATTTCAAAACGCCATAACTTCCGAACCGGAAGTCGGATCGAAATTTGATTTGCAGATTCGGATTCCTGACAAAATTCAACCCCTAATGCATAACTCATACGTTAAATTTGGCGAATTTTTATTTTGACCTACTTTTCGGACACACCATAATTTCCGAACGAGAAGTCGGATCGAAATTTCGTTTGCAGATTCGGATTCCTGAGAAAATTCTATACTTAATTCATAACTCAAACGTCAAATTTGGAGAATTTTTTATTTTGACCTACTTTACGGACACCATATCTCAAAAGTTGGGCAAAATACTTTCTGACGGCAAAAGGCTAACACTATAAGCACACTCTTGGCTACATGTATACAAAATTTCGAAGAATATAATTAATCTGTAGTGTCAGAATCGCAAAAATAACAAAAAACTTTGAATTTGACCTAGATTTTGACCTAGGCATTTTGATGTCCAAATTTTAAAGCTCGATGGCTTTTGAGGTCCCATTCTTTTAAAAGCTTTCATTATATTTAGCTGAACTCAGTCTATATTTCGTATTTTTCACTTCAAAAAAATC